CACGTTGGGAGGCTGGAGGCGGAAATATGCGGATCACCCTGAAGGTTTACAAGGAAGTTATCGAAGAAGGAACCAAGCCTAGCCAAACATGGTTGAAAACCACTATCTCAACTAAAAAATAAAAAAAAAATTAGCTGGGAAATAGTGGGTGTGACAACCTGTAATCCCAGGGCCCGGGGAAGGCCTGAAGGGCAGGGAGAAATCACTGTGAACTTGGGAGGCAGAGTTATGCAGGTTGAAGCCTAAGATCAAGTGCCCAACTGTAACGTGAAGAACAGCCTGGGAGACAGGGGTAGATAACAATAACCCATACATCCAAAAAAAAAAAAAAAGGTACCAATTCAAGTGGTTTTAGTAAATTAGAATAGATTTGATATATAACACCACACAACAATCCCAACCTTTGGGAGGGGAATATTTCCTCACTTTGCCAGGGAAAACCTCATTTACCGCTCATAACTGCAAAGTGCCTACACCAATTAAACCCCCCAAGCCCACCCAGATAAACCACTAGATTTACATTCTGTCTCCATACGTTTGGCCAAACATTTTCTGGACAGCCAGACCCACGACTCCTTCAAATAACTCAGAACTGAGAACTCAGTCACCCACCTCATGTCCGTCACTGCATCTGGTTTTTTTTTCACATCGACATGACATTTTTGAAGGTTCATGCATGGCCTTCAATTCCATACATAGCTCTGGTTGGGAATAGCCGCCTAGCTAGAATCATTATCTCGATTATTTTTTATTCATATTCCTTAACACTGTAGGACCATGTAAACTCAAGTTCAGACCTCTTTAGAAAAGACAGATCCGTTTTCACCAGTTCATGAGCTCCGTATTATCACCTGTAATCTTCCTCATACCCTGTTCTTTTGGCCTCAGCCAGACAAATTGCGCTACTCTCTAAATTGCTGTGTATTTTCTTGCTTCTGTGCTTATTGTTTATGCTCCGTCTTATCTTTTTTTTTTTTTGAGACAGAGTTTTGCCTCCCCCCTCTCGTATTGCCCACAAAGGCTAGAGTGCAAATGGGTTGGTGATCCGCAGCATCACTCCGCAGACATCCGGCCTCCCAGGTCCAACCTGCAACCTCCGCCTCCCAGGTTCAAGCGATTCTCCTGACTCAGCCTCCTGAGTAGCTGAGATTACAGGCATGCACCACCACACCTGACTAATTTTGTATTTTTATTAGAGACAGGGTTTCTCCATGCTGGTTAGGCCGGTCTGAAACTCCTGACCTCAGGTGATCCGCCTGGCTCGGCCTCCCAAAGTGCTGGGATTACAGGTGTGAGCCACTGTGCCTGGCCTTATGCTGGCTCCTTTTTAAGTGCTTTTCTTCCACCCTTTTCTGCTATTCTCCACCTGTCTTATTCATGTATTACGATTCATCTTAGCTCCCCTTCAAACCTTCCCTGATCTTTCAGACCCATCTCATTGAATTGGTTACTTTATATGTTCCTGAGATTTTTGCTTTTCCTTCTACAGTACTCAGTGATGATCAGTTGTTGAAACGAAAACACCAATCCATGTGTTTAATCAGTATTTGCTTAGCACCCACCCTCTTCGTGTCTAAGAACTGGACAACAATGGAGAACAAAACAAGCATGCCCTCATAGCCAGTGAAATGATAGGAAAAATCATGTTACCGACTTGCTTTGTCAATTTCCCTCAGTTTTCTTAAAGAAAGGAGTTAAGGCAGGAATTTATAATGTATTAATGATTTTATTAAGTACTCTAATCTTTGAAAGAAATATGCCTTTTTTTTTCTTGTAGCAGTTCTGAGAATTGATCCCAGTGTTACTGACTATTCAGTTTAGTGTTCCAACTTTATTTTTATTTATTTATGTATTATTTATTTGTTAATTAATTTATTTATTTTGAGACAGAAGTCTTGCTCTGTCGCCCCAGGCTGGAGTGCAGTGGCGTGATCTCGGCTCACTGCAAGCTTCACGTCCTGGGTTCACGCCATTCTCCAGCCTCAGCCTCCCGAGTAGCTGGGACTACAGGCACCTGCCACCATGCCAGGCTAATTTTTTGTATTTTTAGTAGAGACTGGGTTTCACTGTGGTCTCGATCTCCTGACCTCGTAATCCGTCCGCCTCGACCTCCTAAAGTGTGGGATTACAGGCGTGAGCCACCGCACCTGGCCTTTAATTTTTTTTAGTGTTCCAACTTTAATAGTTCTGTTTCTGTACAGATTACCTTGAAACTTGAAGTTCTAACCGTTCCAGCTTAAGATTTTTTTTCATAGGCAAACTTCCGACATTATTCCTCTTTCTGATTCTATTCCCATCTATCAAAGAGGTTAAAAAAAAAAAAAATTAAGTAGTTAACTCCACGCCCAGGTCCTAGTTATCTGTGGGCTTATGAAGAATGTAACTATCTTTTGACTTTGTTATCAGAACAGTGGAACAGAATTTTTTTTCTGTTAATATGCAGGGCAGTCTGGGAGCATTTGTTTAATTTTTTTTCCTTCTCTAAAGAGATTGTGATACTTCTGCCATTTAATACCAAGATAAGGAATTCTATCTTGAAGATTTTTTTTAAAACTGTCTTAACTATTTTTTGTACGTGGTTTCCTGATAGCAGTGCGAGTCCACATGACATCTATATGTGTTCTCTCTGTTCGTGTTTTTATGATGGTAACTTTGAAACCTGAGATCACTCTGTAATTTTTTTTTTTTTTTTTTTGAGACGGAGTCTCGCTCTGTCGCCCAGGCTGGAGTGCAGTGGCACGATCTCGGCTCACTGCAATCCCCGCCTCCCAGGTTCACGCCATTCTCCTGCCTCAGACTCCCGAGTAACTGGGACCACAGGCACTCGCCACCATGCCTGGCTAATTATTTTTTTGTATTTTCAGTAGAGACGGTTTCACCATGTTAGCCAGGATGGTCTTGATCTCCTGACCTCGTGATCCACCTGCCTCAGCCTCCCAAAGTGCTAGGATTACAGGCGTGAGCCACCCCACCCGACAGAGATCACTCTGTAATTTAAAAAAAAGGCAGGGAGCTGTGACTCACACCTGTAATCCCAGCACTTTGACAGGGTATTGCTTGAGGCTCATTTTAGGCCGACCTGGGCAACATAGTGAGACCTTGTCTCTACAAAAACATAAAGTAGCCAGATGTAGTGATGCGTGCCTGTAGTCCCAGCTACTTGGGAGGCTGAGGTGGGAGAATAACTTGAGCCTGGGAAATCAAGGCTGCAGTAAGCCTTGATCATGCCACTGCACTCAGCCTGGGTAAGAGACGGAGACTCTGTCTCAGAATAAAATAACATATCATTTTTATTTTATCTATTACAGGTTGTTAAAAAAGCAGACATGATCAACAAAAATATGACTCATCAGGTCCAAGCTGAGAGAGATGCACTGGCACTAAGCAAAAGCCCATTCATTGTCCATTTGTATTATTCACTGCAGTCTGCAAACAATGTCTACTTGGTGAGTAAATAATTTTTACTTTGTTTCTTTATCCATTCAGCAGTCAGTGGACCCAGTGATTTAAGAGAACCATGTCTGGATTCAGAGTACTTGCATTTGAATTCTGGCTGCACTCACTACCTTGGCAAATTTACCTGTTATATTAGTTAGAGTTCTCCAAAGAAAAAGAACCAATAGGACATATGCATATGTGTTGCGGGAAGTCAGGGACCCCGAACGGAGGCACCCGCTAAAGCCGCAGCAGAAGAACATAAATTTTGAGGTTTTCATGGACATTTATTAGTTCCCCAAATTAATACTTTTATAATTTCTTACACCTGTCTTTACTGTAATCTCTGAACATAAATTGTGAAGATTTCATGGACACTTATCACTTCCCCAATGAATATCCTTGTAATTTCCTAAGCCTGTCTTTACTTTAATCTCTTAATCCCGTCATCTTCTTTGTAAGTTAAGGAGGATGAATGTCGCCTCAGTACCCTGTGATTGTGTCAACTGCACAAATTGTAGAGCATGTGTGTTTGAATATGAAATCTGGGCATCTTAAAAAAAGAACAGGATAACAGCGATGTTCAGGGAACAAGAGAGGTAACTTTGAACTGGGAACAAGAGTGGTAACTTTGAACTGGCCGCCGGTGAGCGGACGGAACAGAGCTATATTCCTCCTCTTTCATAAGCAAATAGGAGAAATATCTCTGATTTCTTTTTCTCAGCAAGGAACATCCGGGCGAAAGAGAATGTGCCCTGAAGGTAGGCCTATAGACGGCCCCTTTTTAAGGCATCGCCCCTTTTTAAGGCATCCGGTCTTTTCTGGTCAAAGGGCCGAGGGGATGAAATAAGCCCAGGTCTCCTATAGTGCTCCTAGGCTTATTAGGATGAGAAAATTCCCACCTAATAAATTGTGGTCAGACAGATTATCTGCTCTCAAACCCTGTTTCCTGATAAGATGTTATCAATGACAAGGCGTGCCCGAAACTTCATTAGCAATTTTAATTTTACCTCATCCAGTGGTCCTGTGATCTCGCCCTGCCTCCCTTTGCTTTGTGATATTTTATTACCTTGTGAAGTATGTGATCTCTGTGACCCACACCCTATTCGTGCACTCCCTCCCCTTTTGAAAATCGCTAATAAAAACTTGCTGGATCCTGCCGACATGTGATGTCTCCCCTGGACACCCAGTTTTAAATTTCTCTCTCTTGTGCTCTTTCCCTTTATTTCTCAACCCAGCTGAGACACTTAGGAAATAGAAAAGAACCCATGGTAAACATCGGGAGCGGGTTCTCCCGATACATATGGTGTGTGTGTATGTGTATGTATATATACACAGAGACAAAGGCCAGGGGCCGTGGCTCACACCTGTAATTCAAGCACTTCGAGATGCTGAGACAGGAGGATCACTTGAAGCCAAGAGTCCAAGACCAACTTGGGGATGAGACTCCATCTCTACAAAAAAATTAAAATAAAAATTAGCTGGCATGGTAGTGTGCAGCTAGCTAATAGAGATACCATTGCACATAACTGCACCCCAACCTGAGATAGAGTCTCCCTCCGTTGCCCAGGCTGGACTGCAGTGGCGCAATCTTGGCCACCCTGTGCCTCCTGGGTTCAAGCAATTCTCGTGCCTCAACCTCCCAAGTAGCTGAGATTAAAGGCATGTGCCACCAGGCCCAGCTTAATTTTTATATTTTAGTAGAGACGGGGTTTCGCTATTTCGAGAACAGCCAGGCTGTTCTCGAACTCCTGGCCTCAAGTGATCTGCCCATCTTGGCCTCCCAAAAGTGCTGAGATTATAGGCGTGAGCCACTGTGCCCAGCCTAAACAGTTTAATTTTTAATTAAAAACTATATGGCAACATGAATAAACCTAGTATTAATGTATTACAAGTAATGGCAAGAAAAGGTAGTTTTGTTACAGAACCATGCCAAATATTGTAACTGTAATGCCCAAATACTAGATTTTTAAAGTAATCATATTGTTTTTATTTCACAATATTAAATTCTTTTTTGATAGGTAATGGAATATCTCATTGGGGGAGATGTCAAGTCTCTCCTACATATATATGGTTATTTTGATGAAGAGATGGCTGTGAAATATATTTCTGAAGTAGCACTGGCTCTAGACTACCTTCACAGACATGGAATCATCCACAGGTAAAGACCAACTTTTCTCCAAATTATTACTTAAAAATTCAAGTAATCAAATTATATATTTGAGTCTCAAATATTCACGGTAACCACTTGCACTTACTTCCAGGTTATCTAAAGTTTACTAGTAACTTGTATTCATTTAGAAATTAACTCTTCTTTCATCTCCCTGTGTTTTCAAAAATATATTGCTTTGAACATGAGTATAGCATGTATTTATTTATTTTTGTATTTATTTACATTTTTATTTATCTTTTTCTTTGTTGAGACAGGGTCTCACTTTGTCACCCAGGTTGTGGAGTGCAGCGGCTTGATCTTGGCTCACTACAGCCTCGACCTCTGGGGCTCAAGCAATCCCCCTGCCTTAGCCTCCCAAGTGTCTGGGACCAGAGGCATATGCCATTACTCCTGGCTTTGTGTGTGTGTGTGTTTAGAGACAAGGTTCCCAGGCTGCTCTTTAACTCCTGGGCTCAAGGGATCCTCCCACCTCAGCCTCCCAAAATGCTACAATTACAGGCATGAGCTACCACGCCCCACTAAGTATGGCATTTTATGTGAAGAGTATTGAATCCTTCCTGCTGCTCTGCATTATACAAAAGTGCTGTATTTTGTAGTCCAACTGATTTACAGTGTTTTTCTCTATGCAAAGAAAGTCAGATTAAGTGACTTATTAAATCTCAATCGTACCTTCCTTTAAGAAGGTAAATGTAGGCCAGGTGCGGTAGCTCATGCCTATAATCCCAGCATTTTGGGAGGCTGAGGTGGGTGGATCACCTGAGGTCGGGAGTTCGAGACTGGCCTGGACAACATGGTGAAACCTTTTCTCTACTAAAAATACAAAAATTAGCCGAGTGTGGTGGTGGATGGCTGTAATCCCAGCTACTCAGGAGGCTGAGACAGGAGAATTGCTTGAATCCAGGAGGCGGAGGTTGCAGTTAGCTGAGATTGTGCCCTTGCACTCCAGCCTGGGTGACAAGAGTGAAACTCCATCAAAAAAAAAAAGAAAAGAAAAAAAAGAAGGTAAATGGTAAATATAAATTTGAACTGGCTTGAGATTGATTTTATCTAATAAGGTTTCTTTATTTTAATGGAATATCTAACCAATGATACCAAAAATAATCTAGTATTAATTTATCTTTTTTGTCGATTCTGATAAATGGTACAAAAGATGTTTTGCTTTTAGGAGATGTTTTCTGTACTTTTCAAAGCCATCAGTGACATCTTTATTTTGGAGGAAATAAATAGGGCTTGCCTCCTTTGTAAGTTTCTTTCTGGAAATTCTAACATTAAAACTAGCCCTTTTTTGGTTATCTACTATTTGCCTTTTATGTGTGCAGGGACTTGAAACCGGACAATATGCTTATTTCTAATGAGGGTCATATTAAACTGACGGATTTCGGCCTTTCAAAAGTTACTTTGAATAGAGGTAAGAAAAATATCGAGTAAGTACCTTTTTAAAACATCCAACAGGCCAGGCATGGTGGCTCATGCCTGTAATCTCAGCACTTTGGGAGGCCGAGGCAGGCAGATCACCTGAGGTCAGGAGTTGGAGACCAGCCTAGCTAACGTGGCAAAACCCCATCTCTACTACAAGTACAAAAATTAGCTTGGCGTGGTGGCACGCACCTGTAGTCCCAGCTACTTAGTAGGCTGAGGCAGGAGAATTGCTTGAAACTGGGAGGCGGAGCTTGCAGTGAGCCAAGATCGTGACACTGCACTCTGGCCTGGGGGGACAGAGTGAGACTGCATCTCAAAAAAAAAAACATATTGTATTCTCTATTAGAAAGGGTACATGGATGGGAAAGTATTAATAATGAAAATAACCAGAAATTGGACTTATAAACTCTGGAATTATAACTATTAGTATTTGAAAATATATGCAGATCTACAGTTTTTCATGTGGAAGTACAAAGTTCAACAGTTATGAACACCTAAAACTTTTTACTAAGTTTGATAAAATCTGATCTATGCTGATGTAGGGGTATTTATGGTCTTTCGTTTGTGTGTTTTGAGATGGGGTTTTTGCTGTTTCCCAGGCTGGAGTTCAATGGCGTGATCTCGGCTCACTGCAACATCTACCTCCCAGGTTCAAGCAGTTCTCCTGCCTCAGCCTTCTGAGTAGCTGGGATTATAGGCACCCACGACCACGCCCAGCTAATTATTTTCTTTTAGTAGAGACGAAGTTTCACCACGTTGGGCAGGCTGGTCTCAAACTCCTGACCTCAGATGGTTCACCTGCCTCAGCCTCCCAAAGCGCTAGGATTACAGGCATGAACCACCGTGCCTAGCCAGGGGTATTTATAGTCTATTGATCCCAGTTCATGTGATTATTCATATGATTTGCCACTAGGGATATTTCATAATATGCAGTATATTTACCACATTACTTTTCTAAAATCAACATTTTTTAATTGTGATTTCAAAGAAATCTGACTTTGAAATCTTATTTTGAAATCTGATTCTAAGGATTTCAGATAAGCTATTGGAAAATATCACAAAGGACAAAAAATTTGCATTAAGATAAAATTGTTGATAAATTTAAGTCACTTTGTATATCATAAGGGTCTAATTTTAATAAAAATTTTTTTGTAAAATATCCTATATGTGTATTATTATTATTCTTATCACTTCATCAGTGTGAGGCATAAATGAAATTTGTTGTTAAAACTTTCAGTATACTTTCATTTATTTATTTTATTATTATTATTATTATTTTTTTGAGATGGAGTCGTGCTCTGTTGCCTGGGCTGGAATGCTAGAGTACAGTGGCACGATCTCGGCTCACTGCAAGCTCTCCCTCCTGAGATCACGCCATTCTCCTGCCTCAGGCTCCGAGTAGCTGGGACTACAGGGACCCGCCACCATGCCTGGCTAATTTTTTTATTTTTAGTAGAGATGGGGTTTCACCGTGTTAGCCAGGATGGTCTCGATCTCCTGACCTCATGATCCACCCACCCTAGCCTCCCAAAGTGTAGGGATTACAGGCGTGAGCCACCGCGCCTGGCCTATTCATTCGTTTATTTATTTATTTTGAGACAGAGTCTTGCTCAATCACCCAGGCTGGAGGACAGTGGCGTGATCTCGGCTCACTACAACCTTTGCCTCCCAGGCTCAAGCTATTCTCTTGCCTCAGCCTTCCGAGTAGTTAGGACTGCAGGCATGAGCCACCACACCCAGCTAATTTTAAAAAGTCCTGTATCATATAAGAACATTAGAGTTCTGGGATTATTTTTTGTTTATTTAAGAGACAGGGTCTCACTGTATTACCCAGGCTGGCGTGCAGTGATGTGATCATAGCTCACTATAGCCTCGAACTCCTGGGAAAAGCAGTTCTTCCACCTCGGCCTCCCCAGTAGCTGGGGCTACACAGGTGCTTACTGTAATACCCAGCTAGTTTTTAAATTGTAGAGATAAGTCTCACTCTATCACTCTATCTTGTTGCCCAAGCTGGTTTCAAACTCCTGGGCTCATGGGATCCTCTCCGTTTGGCTTCCCAAAGTGCTAGGATTACAGGTGTGAGCCACCACGCCTGGATAAGAACATTAGACTTCTCTTACTATTTTTTTTATCTAAGTGGAATAGTATAGTATTATGTGTCAGAGTTGAATTATTTTAAAGTATTATGCACTGAAACATGCTAACAATCTGGGTCAGTTTCTATCTTGACCTAGGCTTAAACATATTAGCTAACATGAGGGGCCCAAAATTAGTATTGATTCCATACCATCTCCTTATTTATTTATATTTTAGTTTTTGAGACAGAGTTTTGCTCTGTCGCCCTGGTTGGGAGTGCAGTAGCACAATCTTGGCTCACTGCAACCTCTGCCTCCCGGTGTTCAAGTGATACTCCTGCCTCAGCTTCCCGAGTAGCGAGATTAACGGTGCCCACTACTACGACCAGCTAATTTTTGTATTTTTAGTAGAGACAGGTTTTACATGTTGGCCAGGCTGGTCTCAAACGCCTGACCTCAATGATCCATCTGCCTCAGCCTCCCAAGGTGCTGGCATAACAGGCCTGAGCCAGCGCGCCGCGCCACCGTCTCCTTTTTAACATTTGGTTTACAAAAAATTTATTGTTGCCAATATATATAACCATTCATTTTTAGTCAATGGGAGGTAAGGTTTTTAATTTAAATTTTTCTTTGCATATATAGATATTAATATGATGGTAATCCTTACAACACCATCAATGGCGAAACCTAGACAAGATTAATTCAAGAACCCCAGGACAAGTGTTATCGCTCATCAGCTCGTTGGGATTTGTACGTACTTGAAAAGAAAATTTGAACATGACGCTGCCCTTTCATGATCACCACTTAAAATTTAAAATTACCTTTAAAAAATATATCAAGGCGGGCGTGGTGGCTCATGCCTATAATCCCAGCACTTTGGGAGGCCGAGGTGGGCAGATCACAAGGTCAGGAGATTCGAGACCATCCTGGCTAACACGGTGAAACCCCATCTCTCTACTAAAAATACAAAAAAATTAGCCGGGTGTGGTGGCGGGCGCCTGTAGTCCCAAGCTAAGTCGGGAGGCTGAGGTAGGAGAATGGCGTGAACCCGGGAGGCGGAGCTTGCAGTGAGCCGAGAGGGGGCTACTGCACTCCAGCCTGGGCGAGAGTGTGAGACTCCGTCTCAAAAAAAAAAAAAAGATCAAAATAGATTTAAATATCAAGCAATTGGATTTACTTTAGCAGTTTGTCTGCATAGGTGGTATAACAGTCTATATACTTAGGTGGTGTTTTGGGGAAGGTAAACCTGTTTTATTTTTCTCTTTTTACTAGAACACACAATTGCCAGAAAAAATCACGACTCTGCAAACATCCTTTCAGCCTGTCTATCCGAAACATCACAGCTTTCTGAAGACTCGTATGCCTATGTCTATAGATCAAAGGACACTACTTCTTATTCTAGCAAGTTACTAAAATCATGTGAGTATAAAAAATAAGGTAGGCCAGGCATGGAGGCTTATACCTATATTCGACCACATTGGGAGGCTGAGGCAGGATTTCTTTCTTTTTTTTTTTTTTTTTTGAGACGGAGTCTCGCTCTGTACCAGGCTGGAGTGCAGTGGCCGGATCTCTGCTCACTGGCAAGCTCCGCTCCCGGGTTCACGCCATTCTCCGCCTCAGCCTCCGAGTAGCTGGGACTACAGGCGCCTGCCACCTCGCCCGGCTAGTTTTTGTTATTTCTTAGTAGAGACGGGTTTCACCGTGTTAGCCAGGATGGTCTCGATCTCCTGACCTCGTGATCCGCCCGTCTCGGCCTCCCAAAGTGCTGGGATTACAGGCTTGAGCCACCGCGCCCGGCCGGATTTCTTTCTTTTGAGATGGAGTCTCATTCTGTCGCCCAGGCTGGAGTGTAGTGGCGTGATCGAGCAGCTCACCGCAAGCCAAGAGTTCAAGACCAGCCTGAGCAACAAAGTGAGACTTCATCTCTACAAAAATTAGCCGGGCATGTTGGTGCACACTTGTGGTCCCAGCTACATTGGAGGCTGAGGCAGGAGGATCACTTGAGCCTAGGAGGTTGAGGCTGCAGTGAACCATAATAGCACCATTGCACTCCACCCTTGGTGACAGCATGATACCCTACCTTAAAAAAACAAAAAACTTCTTCAAAATTCAAAACATTTTGAGTACCAACATGACACCCAGCATTTTGGGAGACCAAGGCGGGCAGATCACTTAAGGTCAGGAGTTCGAGACCCGCCTGGCCAACATGGTAAAACCCTGTCCTTACTAAAAATACAAAAATTAGCTGATCGTGGTGGTGGGCACCTGTAATCCCAGCTACTCAGGAGGCTGAGGCAGGAGAATCGCTTGAACACAGGAGGCGGAGGTTGCAGTGAGCTGAGATCGTGCCACTGTACCCCAGCCTGGGTGACAGTGAGACTGTCTCAAAACCAACAAACAAGCAAGCAATTTACCATTATTTGTTTGCTTTATCCGGTAGTATTTTTTAAAAATCCCTTATAAGTGTGTATAATTCACATTTGTAAATGCATAAACCTCAGTGTTACAATAAATACAAGTTGAATTAAATACAAGTGTTAAATACAAGTTGAACTGAGTAAATTTAGTCATATTCTAACCTTATAGCACATCTGGATATACCACATCAATAATGTTCCTTTGTCAGGAATGGGTTCAAATTGGATGATAGATACTCCATATTGATTTGCTCCTAGTTATACATTAACTTGGTGGCTCACATCTGTAATCACAGCACTTTGGGAGGCTGAGGCGAGAGGATCACTTGAACCCAGGAGTTTGAGACCAGCCTGGGCAATATAGTGAGACCGCCATCTCTAAAAAAAATTTAAAGCATTAGCCAGATTTGGTGGTCCTCACCACTCAGGAGGCTGAGATGAGACTATTGCTTGAGCCCAGGAGGTCAAGGCTGCAGTGAGAGTAGTCATACCACTGCACTCTAGCCTGGATGACAGAGGGAGATCCTGCCGTAAATCAGTCAATAAATCCACCATTCCCTTGTTCTTATTCTTTACTGTATGAATGTTAAGGGGATTTTGTTTGGTTCTAACTTTCACAGCAGTACTTATATCTAAACATAGTGGGATATGTTTAGATATATTAATAGTATGTGTATCTAAACATAATGGGAAGCATGCCAGCTGTTCTTTTGGACTAGATAGTGTTTACAAAGAAATAGTTCTGATATGTAATTCTTACTATGTAATTCTTAATACTTTGCTTAATTATATGTAAAGATTCAGGTTCAGTAAGGAACTAAGAAAGCTGTAACATAGAATTCAATATTGTCTCTTCTCTGTAGGTCTTGAAACAGTTGCCTCCAACCCAGGAATGCCTGTGAAGTGTCTGACTTCTAATCTACTCCAGTCTAGGAAAAGGCTGGCCACATCCAGTGCCAGTAGTCAATCCCACACCTTCATATCCAGTGTGGAATCAGAATGCCACAGCAGTCCCAAATGGGAAAAAGATTGCCAGGTTTGAGGGACATTTATCTTAATGAAAACCAATTATGTATGTCAAATGAATGATAGAAACATACCTTTTCATATAAATTCCATAAAGAAATGAAATTGTGGCCGGGCGCGGTGGCTCAAGCCTATAATCCCAGCACTTTGAGAGGCCGAAACGGGCGGATCACGAGGTCAGGAGATCGAGACCATCCTGGCTAACACAGTGAAACCCCATCTCTACTAAAAAAATACAAAAAAACTAGCCGGGAGAGGTGGCGGGCGCCTGTAGTCCCAGCTACTCTGGAGGCTGAGGCAGGAGAATGGCGTAAACCCGGGAGGCGGAGCTTGCAGTGAGCTGAGATCTGGCCACTGCACTCCAGCCTGGGCGACAGAGCGAGACTCCGTCTCAAAAAAAAAAAAAAAAAGAAATGAAATTGTTACATGAATGGCAGTCATGGTATTAATCAGAAATTCATTGTCCTGCACACTCTGTCAAATTCTTTTGAAATATTTAATTTCTCATTCAATTGTGACATTGTTCTTGCTTGATTATATAATGAGATCCTTGCAGTAAATTGATAGTAAATGCTTGGCTTCTGTATGTCTAGGTGGACCTCACTTGTTTTTGAAAGTCCTTCCCATGATACAGACATTGGCTTGTTGGTTTTGTTTTATATTGTTTTTAACCTATATCATTTTAAAACTCATACTACCTCCTTCTATACTATTTCCTGCCAGTTTCTTGTTTAATGGAATGGTAACTCTTCTGGATCAGAAATAACTTTTAGACCAGAAAGGTAATGTGGGTGTGCCCTTAAAGTGTCTATTCTGCGGATATTGCTTGCCAAATGAATGGATTTACTTACAGTTACTTTACTTAACTTACATATTGTTTTTGCCTTTTTAAACAGTTATTAGAGCTAATAGATATTAAAGGTGATAGGAACTAAAATTTAAAATCATAATAAGGTTTCCTTCATAGAGTACTGATAAAATAATGATAGATTAGGATAACACTAATATCCAAAGAATAAACCTTATATTTGTTAAGATAATTTTGATTCTATTTGCTGCTTATTCTCCGCAATAGAATTTTATTATTATTGGATATTTGTATTTTATAAGCAAAATCAAATTAACTTTTAACTAAGCCAGAATTTCTTTAATCTTTTTTCCTTCTCTCGTTATAAAGTAAGGTAGTATATTCTGCAAAATAAACAGATTTCCATTTCTAGTACTATTATTGCACTCCTTTCCTATTGAAGAAAACATATTGTTTACTATTTCAAATTATACGCGGCTTTACCATCTTCCTCCCACTTCTGCACCCCTGAGGGATGCAACGGTGGGATTATAGTGGTGCTTCTCAAGTTATGATTAGAGGAATGATAAGGCACCCACTGAAAAACCTTATACTGATCCTCACATGCATCATTTTCTGTGCTTGCAGATTAGTGAGATGTAATTCAAGAATATCCTTTTTTAGGCCAGACATGGTGGCTCATGCCTGTAATCCCAGCGCTCTGGGAGGCCAAGGCGTATATATCACCTAGGTCAGGAGTTTGCGACCAGCCTGGCCAACATGGTAAAACCCTGTCCTTACTAAAAATACAAAAATTAGCTGATCGTGGTGGTGGGCACCTGTAATCCCAGCTACTCAGGAGGCTGAGGCAGGAGAATTGCTTGAACCCGGGAGGCAGAGGTTACAGTGAGCGGAGATCATGACTCCAGACTGGGCAACAAGAGCAAAACTCCATCTTCAAAAAAAAAAAAAAATCCTTTTTGCTTGTGACCAAGTGCTCATTATTATTACTAAGTTAATGATAGTTAATAAAGTTTACTATTTATACATCAAAAATAAGCACTATTAGAGTTTACTTAAGACTCACTCTACTTGACTAATCTTGTAAAAATCTTGATCACCAAGCACCAATTTGCAATATTACGTATAAAGCTGAGTACCCACAAGTACCCACAGATAGATAGTTGGAATTCAGAAAAAAACGTATTATTAATGCATTATCAGTTCATCTTGACAATGGATTTTAATTTCTGCTCTTTGGGGTTTGTAATGATTAATTACCATTAATGTCACTTCATCCTTAACTTGGTTTTTTAATACTTATATGAAGTGATATATAGTTACATTAACAATATTTTAGGTCTATAATTTTTCATTGACTAAATTTCAAGCCCTATGTATTTTGCAGTTCAAAACAGAATCATCCAGACCAGGTGTGGTAGCTTAGGCCTATAATCCCAGCACTTTGGGAGGCCTAGGCAGGTGGATCACCTGAGGTCAGGAGTTTGAGACTAGCCTGGCCAACATACTGAAACCCCATCTCCATTAAAAAAAAAAAAAAATGCAAAAATTAGCCGGGCGTGGTGGTGTACCCCTGTAATCCCAGCTACTTGGGAGGCTGAGGTGGGAGAATTACTTGAACGCAGGAGGTGGAGGCTGCAGTGAGCTGAGATCACACCACTGCACTTCAGCCTGGGTGACAGAGCAAGACACTGTTTCAAAAAACAACAAACAAAAAAAAACCAGAATCATCCATATACCTATTGCAAAATAGATATGTACATAATGCAGCCTTACCCCCAAGTATGCCTGAATATGTTGCCTGTTAATTTGTCCTGTTTAAGTAACCTGTGATATACTATCAAAATAAGTATTATAGAATGATTTATTTAAATTTTAGACCATTTCATTCAGAATAATGTATATAAGCTTATAATTGTTTATATTGCTTTTTAATTCTCTGTTTATTTTTTCCATTCAAAAGTGGGAACAGGTAGCATAATAGTTTATGGGGTTGTTCATCCTACCTTAGTGGACCATAGTTAAAAGGTCAAAGAATATCAGCTTTATATAACTAAAACAAATATTTTTTTCCCTCTTAGGAAAATGACGAAGCATTGGGCCCAACAGTGATGAGTTGGAATACAGTTGAAAAGTTATGCGCAAAATCGCCAAATGCCATTGAGACAAAGGGTTTCAATAAAAAGGATCTTGAGTTAGCTCTTTCTCCCATTCATAACAGCAGTGCCCTTCCCACCACTGGACGCTCTTGTGTAAACCTTGCTAAAAATTGCTTATCTGGGGAAGTTTCTTGGGAAGCAGTAGAACTGGATGTAAATAATATAAATATGGACACTGACACAAGACAGTCAGGTTTCCATCAGTCACATCAGTGGGCGGTGGATTCTGGTGGGATATCTGAAGAGCACCTTGGGAAAAGAAGTTTAAAAAGAAACTTTGATTGGGTTGACTCCAGTCCTTGTAAAAAAATCATACAGAATAAAAAAACTTGTGTAGAGTATAAGCATAACGAAATGATAGATTGTTATACAAATCAAAATACAGGCTTAACAGTTGAAGTTCACGACCTGAAGCTATCAGTGCACAAAAGTCAACAAAATGACTGTGCTAATAAGGAGAACATTGTCAATTCTTTTACTGATAAACAACAAACACCAGAAAAATTACCAATACCAATGATAGCAAAAAACCTTATGTGTGAACTGGATGAAGATTGTGAAAATAATAGTAAGAGGGACTACTTAGGTTCTAGTTTTCTATGTTCTGATGATGATAGAGCTTCCAAAAATATTTCTATGAACTCTGATTCATCTTTTCCTGGAATTTCTATAATGGAAAGTCCATTAGAAAGTCAGCCTTTAGATCCAGATAGAAGCATGAAAGAATCCTCTTTTGAAGAATCAAATATTGAAGATCCACTTATTGTATCACCAAATTGCCAAGAAAAGACCTCACCAAAAGGTGACGAGAACCCTGCTGTACAAGAGAGTAACCAAAAAATGTTAGCTCCTCCTTTGGAGGTGCTGAAAACGTTAGCCTCTAAAAGAAATGCTGTAGCTTTTCGAAGTTTTAACAGTCATATTAATGCATCCAATAACTCAGAACCATCCAAAATGAACATGACTTCTTTAGATGCAATGGATATTTCGTGTGCCTACAGTGGTTCATATCCCATGGCTGTAACCCCTACTCAAAAAAGAAGATCCTGTATGCCATATCAGGTATATTTATAACTTTCTAACACTTTGTTTTTTGGATTTTAGAAAAACTGAAGACAGACATTTGCCTCTAAGCTAGACTATGCAGTATTAATCACATAGTTTTGTTCTTACTGAGAATCTATGGGCTGTTGTAAGTTTTTACCCAGAAAGGTAAAGCTGGTAGAAATCATGTTTATTATTTTTAGTTGTAATGCCTCCTTCCATTTGTGTAGTTTTATGTACTTTTCTAAGAAAATACAATCACATATTTTCACTTGATCCCTACAGTACTATGAGATGCAAAATTACTATTATTATTATCATTTTTGAGACAGAGTCTCATTCTTTTGCCCAGGCTGGAGTGCAGTAGTGTGATCTTGGCTCATTGCAGACTTCACTCCCCAGGTTCAAGCGATTCTCCTGCCTCAGCCTAATCCTGAGTAGCTGGAATTACAGGGGCCTACCACCACACCTGGCTAATTTTTGTATTTATAATAGAGACGGCATTTCACCATGTTGCCCAGGCTGATCTCAAACTCCTGACCTCAAGCAATCCGCCCACCTCGGCCTCCTAAAGTGCTGGGATTACATGTGTGAGCCACTGCACCCGGCCAGAGATACAAAACTAAAGTCCACTCTACCTTACTGCCTTCCAAGGACATATTTAGATGATCTCTTTTCTTAACAGAATAAAAGTTGAAAAATATACGTTTCTTTTTTTTTTTTTTGTGAGACGGAGTCTCGCTCTGTCGCCCAGGCTGGAGTGCAGTGGCATGATCTCGGCTCACTGCAACCTCTGCCCCTCCAGGTTTAAGCAGTTGTGTGCCTCAGCCTCCCAAGTAGCTGGGATTACAGGTGCCCGCCACCATGCTCAGCTAATTTTTTGTATTTTTAGTAGAGACAGGGTTTCAGCATCTTGGCCAGGCTGGTCTTGAACTCCTGACCTCATGATCCACCTGCCTCGACCTCCCAAAGTGCTGGAATTACAGGCGTGAGCTACCGCGCCCGGGCTCAGTGGCTCTTAAGCTTGTATTATCCATGCTATCAGTCTTCTTGCATATTTTTTCATTGAACATTTTTCTTGCAGACTTTTTTATTGTTTCTTATCCAGATCTTATTGGAATAATCAATGTTATCTAAGCTTTTGAACTTCACTAGATAAAAGGACGTTTTAATAATTATAACTAATGCATTCATTTTCAAAACATCAAAAATTTGACTACATCTTTTATGCTTAGTAGCCTATAAGCTAGTTATTTGGCTTGTGTGTTTCACCGTTTCCTATTCAGTGTAAAAGGAATTAAGATATTTGTTATCTCTTAAACACTTTTTGAATTAGCAGACCCCAAATCAGATCAAGTCGGGAACTCCGTACCGAACTCCGAAGAGTGTGAGAAGAGGGGCAGCCCCCGTTGACGATGGGCGAATTCTAGGAACCCCAGACTACCTTGCACCTGAGCTGTTACTAGGCAGGGCCCATGGTAAGGCTTGCATGTCTTGAGTTTTTGAAGTGTTATCTGTCACTACATTATCTTTCAAGGTTAAATTTTTAAAAATTTCTTCAGTACTTACATTACCTAAAGTAAAAGAAAATGAGCTCATCCAGTACTCTCATATTTATATGGCATTTATCATAGGAAAATAAAATAGCAGTGGCCATGGCTATCCCACTCTCTGAATGTAAAAGACCAGACGCTAGAGTACATGCAGTCATTTGTCCTTTGCCTTCTGGTTCAGTCTCAATGTTCCAGAAAAGCCACACCTGCCACCCTTGATATTATCTTACCTCTTTTTTTTTGTTTTTTTGTTTTTATTTTTGAGACAGAGTTTCTCTTTTGTCACCCAGGCTGGAGTGCAATGGCGCGATCTCGTCTCACTGCAATCTCTGCCTCCCAAGTTCAGGTGATTCTCTGTCCTCAGCCTCCTGAGTAGGTGGGATTATAGTCGTCCACCACCATGCCCGGCTAATTTTTGTATTTTTAGTAGAGACAGTTTCGCCATGTTGGCCAGACTAATCTTGAACTCCTGACCTCAGGTGATCCACCTGCCTTGGCCTCCCAAAGTGCTGGGATTACAGGCATGAGCCACCACACCCTGCCTGTCTTACCTCTTAATGTTTCTTCAGGTTGGATGGAGTTTGGGCTTGGTACTACAATGTTGGGTCTAAATTTCTGTTCTAAATAGGCTTCTGCAGAAGCCTATTCCTGTTTAGAACTTATTCTCACTTATATCCTTACCAGAAGAGTCAAACCAGAAAGGAACCATCATCCTTCAAAACAGAACATAAGAATAAAAAGATAGGGCCGGGCACGGTGGCTCACACCTGTAATCCTAGCACATTGGGAGTCTGAGGCGGGTGGATCCCTTGAGGCCAGGAGTTCAAGACCAAGCTGGCCAACATGGTGAAACCTCATCTCTACTAAAAACACAACAACTAGCTGGGCATGGTGGTGCATGCCTGTAATCCCAGCTATTTGGGAGGCTGAGGCATAAGAATTGCTTGAACCTGGGAGGCCAACGTTGCAGTGAGCCAAGATCGCGCCACTATACTCCAGCCTGGGCGACAAAGCAAGACTCTGTCTCAAATAAAAAAAAAAAAAAGAATAAAAAGATGACATTTTCACCTATATTCTTTTCTTCCCTTTCTTTCTTTGAAAATGGTTCCCTTCTTACATTCTGAAATGAACTGTATTCATTTTCCTAGGAATGTGTAGCACAAACTGGGTGTCTCAAACCAATAAAACTTCACTGTTTCACAGTTCTAGAAGCTAGAGGTCCAAAATCAGGTGTCCACAGGGCTATTCTCCCCCTGAAACCTGTAGGGAAATCCTTCTTTGCCTCTTCCTGGCTTCTGGTGGTTCGCTGGCAATCCTCAGTGTTCCTTGACTTGAAGATGCCTCATTGTAGTTCTCCCTCTTTCTGTGATGGTGTTCTCCCTCTTTCTGTGATGGTGTTCTCCCTGTGTCTCTATCATCACAGGGCTGGCTTCTTAGAAGGACGCCAGTCATTAGGAGCCCATCTTACTCCAGTATGACCTCATCTTAACCGAGTTAATCATATTTGCAAAAACCCATTTCCAAATAAGGTCATTCTTAGGTACTGGGGGTTAGGACTTCAACATACCTTTTTTGGGAGGGACACAGTTCAGCCCATTACATGAAACCCTTCTACATGTTGATGTTACTTACTTCCCTTTTCTTTGAGCTCTTTTCATGATCATCTGTTTCATCCTCCCCACCCCACCTCTCACACCCTTTCTTCTGTTTTTATTTCCTTGCCGACTTTTATCCTCAGCCTGAAAATAAGTTTCCACTCTTCTCTTCCCCTCATTGCCTAACTTCTCAAAGGTTTCCTCTTTCTTTGATTATTTTGCTCTGGCAATTTGATCATCATCTCACTATTTAACTGAAAATTATTTTATTTATTATTTATTTATTTAGAGATGGAGTTTAGCTCTTGTTGCCCAGGCTGGAGTGCAGTGGCACAATCTCAGCTCACCGCAACCTCCGTCTCCCAGGTTCAAGTGATTCTCCTGCCTCAGCCTCCTGAGTAGCTGGGATTATAGGCATGCGCCACCACCATGCCCGGCTAATTTTGTATTTTTAGTAGAGATAGGGTTTCTCCATGTTGGTCAGGCTGGTCTTGAACTCCTGACCTCAGGTGATCCGCCTGCCTGAGCCCTCCAAAGTGCTGGGATTACAGGCGTGAGCCACCGTGCCCTGCCTAACTGAAACTTCTTAATGGGCACCAGCGATTTCCTTATTGTCAAATCCAGTTGTCTCTTCTCATTCCCCTGACCTCTGTTCCTGCTCTTTGGTTCCTTCCTTACTTCTTCTGAATTTAGTTCTTCGAGATTGTGCCCTTACCCTTTTTGCCCTACATGTGCTCCCTGTTCATCTCATCACTCCCATGACTTCAATTGTCACCTCCATGTTGATGATTCCCAAATCTCTGTCTCTAATCCTGACCTTCTCTAGGCAGCAGACACACAGCCAATCTGGCTATTCAGTATTTTACTGGTCTTTCAAATGTTGGGTATCAAACGTGGACTTGTGGGGCCTGGTGCTGTGGCACATGGCTGTAATCCCAGCACTTTGGGAGGCCAAGGTGGGTGGATCACTTCAGGTCAGGTGTTCAAGACAAGCCTGGCCAACATGGTAAAACCCCATCTCTACTAAAAATACAAAAATTAGCCAGGCATGGTGGTGTGCGTCTGTAATCCCAGCTACTCAGGCGGCTGAGACAGGAAAATCGCTTGAACCTGGGAGGCGGAGGTTGCAGTGAGCCAAGATCATGCCACTGCATTCCAGACTGGGTAACAGAGCAAGACTCCATCTCAAAAAAAAGAAAGAAAAAGAAAAAACTGGGCTTATTATCCAGCTAGCTTTTCCTCTGTTCCCTACCTCAGTTTCATCAGCTTCATGGTGACACAATCTTTGTTCCTACATTCCAGCATTTAAATCCAGCCAATTAGATCTCTGCAGTGTTTCACCTCTCATTTTCTTCTCTGCCCCCTCTGCGTCTAGACCTCCCGAGTAGCTGGGACTACAGGCGCCGCCACCCTCGCCCGGCTAGTTTTTTGTATTTCTTAGTAGAGACGGGGTTTCACCATGTTAGCCAGGATGGTCTCGATCTCCTGACCTCGTGATCCGCCCGTCTCGGCCTCCCCAAAGTGCTGGAATTTACAGGCTTGACACCGCCGCCCGCCGAAAGATGAGTTCTTAAAGAGACACGA